TAGGTGATCTGTTTACGCTATTCGATCTGTAATTGTAATGTTTTTCTTTTATGGCTGTTACTTATTGGGTTGGGCGTTTTTTTTTTTTTGGGTACTTCTCTCAATGACACTGCTGACCCTAGGAGCAACGGTAAGGTTGCTTGCTGCGTAAATTTAACCCTCTACAGTTCCCGGGTTGGCGATAGTTCAGTGGACTGCCCTCTCAATGACTCTATTATTGCATGTTGCTACATGTTTTTGTTGATAAATATATGTTGCATTTCGGATGTTATTTTCCCATTATTGGTTTATAAATGCACTTTTCTCACACTTATCCGATCAATGTCAGTTCCCCCTTTTACCATATGTAAATTCTAATCGTTGATTTCAGATTAATGAATGTCAATTGCCAATTGAAATTGTAGTTTTTAGATAATATTATGATGTAATATCAGGCGTATAAGTAGACTAAAGGTAAAGTTAACAGTTGATATACTGGGATATGATAGCTTATAACAGAATGAATAGCCGTTGTCATAAACAGATCACAATGGGGGAAACTAATTAATGTAGGTGGCCTCAAATAGATGGGACCAGGCAATGAGTAGTTGAGTCACATATTGGATATGTGAGCAGGAAGAAGCACGTTAAATTCGTTTATTTAAATTGGTGAGGAGACCGGTGAAAAAATATTTACGTAGGTTCTTCTTTTTTACAAGGAGCCCTTTTAAATGTGTTGACTTTTGGCATAACACTAGCATTGGAATGGGCTTGCTCAGATGTGCTTCCTCTCAAACCTGTATCAAATCTGTGGGGGTGAGAGGATGAGTGGAATGTGTTCTTGTTGTATGAGAAGTTAAATGTTGTACTTTTCCCTTTTTCCACTGGAAATATATGAATTGATTGATATTTGCAATTTGGACACCCTTTAATATTTGTACACTTCATTTGTGTTGTATCAGGCATGTATCCTAGAATCTCCAGTAATGGTACTTTCCATTTTACTTTTTTCAAGTGATAGTCATGACTGGGTTATGTCAAGCTCTCATAAATAAATCACTATCTTTGAACCTTCTGCAATCTGGATGTGCATGCTCAAGTCATTTGATTTTCCATCAAAATAAATTCTCCAAGAAGGATCATGCGAATGAGTATAAAATACTTGATAGAATTAGCATAGAGGAAGAGAAATGGAACAATCTTGGAAGGCAATAACATATGTAGTGATACAGAAACCAGTTGTAGACAATTAGTTAGATTTTACATGAAGTAAAAAATTGAAGAAATGCCCTTTCCTGTTTCATACAATGGCCCTTCTACGTGTGTGAAGTTTTATATGACATGATTACAGGTATTATTATGGGTACAGGATTGGTATCATGCACGTACTTTCAAATATGCATCCTGGGAACAAATGAGTGTAACGCAATTCCTGTTGTACTAAAAGTTCCTTGCTTAATATCTCTAGTATCTACTTTTCATGAAAGGTATTTAAATTGAATAAAATTGCCGTATTTGATAAATTGAGTGAATTCACATCTTGATACACTATAATAAATACAACATTGAAGAATACTATAGAAGATATAAGAGAAAAACCTTGTCATTCGGATGATTAATAGTGCCTCATGTGTGGCTCATTGGTGAATCGTTTTACCTTCATTCCACTACTTGAAGTGATTGTTACAAGCATGACGAAACTACAAATCCCAACTATGGATATATAAGAGCCAGAACTGCAAAGGGTTGAATCACCATTTAGCGAGGCTAATGGGACTGGGGTCTCTCGTTTGGCAGGGCATTGGAGAGACTGATTTCAGAACTCAAATCCATAAGGAATTGCTTGGCCAAATGAATAATTACCATCACTTCAGATCTTGAACCTCTCTTATTATGCATATTGGACAGAGAAAAGGGCACTAAGGCAATGAATATTTGATTTTGGAGGGACTGATTTCCGAACTCTAATCCATAAGGGATTGCTTGGCCAAATGAGTAATTACCATCGCTCCAGATCCACAATCTCTCTTAGTATGCATCTTGGGATAGACAAAAGAGCACTAAGGCAATGAATATTTGATTTTGATAAGGGATTGCTTGGCCGAATGAGTAATTGCCACTGTTCCAGATCCAACTTTTCTTAGTAATTGGTATGCATCTTGCAACTTAGAATAGCGCACTAAGTCCTATTTTTCGTTTCTTTTTGTTTTAAAATTGGATCTGTAAAACTCAACTTGGCAAACTTTATTATTACAGTTTGTAGCGGAATGTAGTCCTCTCCTCTCTAGTTCTTGAAAGTGATAAATCAAAGATTCAATATTTTTATTCACTTCCCTTTTCCAACAATATCTTGGCAACCATAATGGAGCTATAAAATGGATATAATAGATGAAGTTTCTCGATTTTGATTTGCAGGAGCGGTTCATAAGTCAAAATATTATATGCGATAATTAATGTTATTTAGGATGTTGAAGCCTTGAAGGAGTGAGTAGTAAGATGCCATATTTAGCTTAATATTTCAATAATGTGATGTTTGGATAGAAACATTCTCTTTTTAAGTTTGATGTGGTATTGGCTATCTCATATTTTTTGACCTCGTATAAGTTTGTCTCATTTTCGAAGAACAGGACGGATGTCAGCCTTCAAGAGAAACACGTCTGCAGAACTACAGTTCAAGGAAGATACTTACTATCTGATGATAACGGTATGCTTTTTTCTTCACCAAGTTGTTTATTTTGTTGCCATCATCATGCTTTTGATATTTTCACCAGTTGAGATGTAAATAATGGTTTTGGATTATTCTATAATATAAATGATTTAATTTAGATCTTACCCAATTGAATATTTATAATAGCTGTATCTGTTGGATAACTCTTTCCACTAAGCAGTTCCAAGAGTTGTTACGTTATTTAGCTCAATTGTCCAGCTGTAAAGTTGGTTGAAGATTTGATGACAACCAAACAATTCCAAGAATGGAAACAGTCCAATATATACCTTAGATTCTCACCAAGGTTCTCTGGGATTTTACCCTAGAGGAAATTAATGGAGTTTTACCATTTTTTGTTTTTTGATAGGGAATGATTGAATATTATTGAAATGACAAAAACGTTGTACATAGTACATTAGAGGACTAGAAGTCCTCAATAAAATCTAAGAGAAAAAGTGAAAAGAAAGCCAAAAAACACAACAAACCAAAGGGTAGAGAGACAAAATATTGTCTCTTTTAATGGAGAATATCTGTAGAGAAATCTGTATTATTCAATTTTGCGGATTTGTCTTTACAAAAACTGACTTATATAATTTACACAAAGAAAAATTTTACCCAAACAACTAGCATCCGAAGCACCGCTGATGATAGAAATATGATATTTCTAACTCAAAGGACTTGTTTATTTGCCATATTATTGAAGGACTAAAGGTGGTGGATTGGATTAAAAGTTCTCTAATCCGGCATTATAGAACATTTGCATATCAAAAATCATTCCATACTATTTGTGGGATTATATGTCGTATGTATCTCATATGGAGGATTTCAATATCCTTTATCCATACTATTGAGCCAATTTTAATTCCAAGGGAAGGTGGTATTGTGATTATGCTCAACAAAATAATATGAACAACGATATTGCCTTCATGCCTGTATCCTCTCTCTCTGTGTCATTTCATAAAAAGACTCATAAGCTGTTGAAAGAGAATTAGAGACTCCTCTCTCTCTCTCTCTGTAAATTTAGACACTTCAGAAATAGTGAGTGCTTATCAAGAAGTAATCGAGACCTTCATGAACATCACTGGCGTATTAGAACCTGTTTCCATAAAAGGATCTAGAGAATTCTACTCCATCTCCGTTCAAGAGGGTAGCAGAATTTGGAAGTGAGCTGCATGTGATGTCCTATCTACCTCACAAGAACTTTTCCAAGACATGGCCCTGCATATATTTGTCAATATGTCCACTCTTATTTGGGAAAATAGTTGCTTAAGTGCATATGTGTGCTATCATTGTGTATAGATTATATTGATTTTTAGAGTCAAGTGCTATCTTAATGATTTTTTCATTAAAAAAGTAGCTAGAGATGGTCTTGTAATTTCATGGTACAATTTTTTATTCCTCTGATATAGTCTCATGGAACTTCAGTGCACCAAATAAAGGATTGGATTGCGCTGGATTAAGGTTATTTTTGGCCAATGCAACATTAGTACGATGGAATGAATGAACTAACCAAACATAGGATTGGACTGGAATGCTATTATCTGGCTCTTAGTCTCTTGTCTAGCTAAACACAGGATTGGAATGGATAGGATTTGGTCTCCCATTTAATCTCATGTTTATCTGCCTTTACGGGATTAATTTGAATTCCTTAATCTAATCTGCCCTTTTTCAATACAACCACTAATCAAAAAGGAATTAGGATCATTTGGGTTCAAACCAACCTACTGAAAGTCAACCTGTTATAATCTGACACCTCCGTGGGCGCATTGGTTCATTGGTAGGATCATCGTAGGCTTTCTCGGCTCATTGGTCCATTGATTGGACCTTCATGGGTTTTTCCCTTTTTATATATGCAAAAACTCTTAGGGGTCTGGTCCCCATCAAGATTACTTTTGAATTGCAAGGTCAACGAAAATACTTCAACCTAACCCATAGGATACATCCGTAAAAGGGATATTGAGGATCCTGATTTAACATTACATTTTTACATTCAAATAAACCCATGTCAGAGAGCGCCCTTTATTTGAGTAGCCTTAGCCAGCTTGCCCAGTTCTCACATAGACTTAGCACCCAAATTGGCTGACAAAGTTGATTGTGACTCAGACAATCTTTGCTTTTAATATTTTAAGATAGGTAGCATTTTGACTCAAGAAGCATGCGCAATTCTCTCTCTCTCTCTCTCTCCATATAAATAGTACTAAAGAAATTTAGTGCGAAGAAAAGGTTCTAAGTTCCAAGATGACTATTAGCTCAAAAACCAATGCTTAATGCTTAACATGACCAAAATGCATTTTCTCACATTAAGTTTCGACAAATGACGCCCCTAATGACTCAACCAGCTTTCCATGCACAGTTTTCTCTATATCAAGTTTTGAGTGTAGTGGGCTGTGGGCCCCAAACCTTGAATTCTGACTTTGAAGGAGGACTTGTCTCTAAACATGCAATAGTTGCCTCAGCCAACACAAGAATCCAAGATACACGGTTGATTGGAATAGAGGAACATGAGGGGAAGCAGACGTGAGAAGAATATTTCTTTGAGCCATGTTCCTGATGCAGTTCTAAGGATACCCTTTTTAACTGGCCACTAGAAAAAATTGGTATAAATGGCTGTACAAAAGATAGGTATGTGCTGTAGTGATGAGGGGAAGCAGACGTGAGAAGAATATTTCTTTGAGCCATGTTCCTGATGCAGTTCTAAGGATGCCCTTTATAACTGGCCACTAGAAAAAATTGGTATAAATGGCTGTACAAAAGATAGGTATGTGCTGTAGTGATGAAAATATTAAGTGACGTGGGGATTGCGAAACAAGTGTTATGTGAATTTATAATAGAAACAAATTCTGGATGAAAAGAAAATGAATAGGGTGCAATTTGTGAGCCAGGCTCTATGAAATATAGAATCAAGATGTGAAATATTCTGTGAGATTTAAGATTTCAAGAGAACATTAACCATGTCCTTTTGAAACCCACACCGATGTTGTTTCTTCTACTCTAAACCTTTTGAGTCATAGGATACTATGGATTTGCTGCATCCTGCTTCTTTCTGTGAGAAGTCCATACTGTGTATTTGCATCACAAAGCACATGCACATGATTTCAGAATTCCAAAATAAGTGCATGGGTGTTGCACCATTCCCTCTATTGCTGCACTCCTCATAACTAGTGTTTTATTTTATTTTTTGATAGGAAACAAAACTCTTTTATTAATATAATAGAAGCGTAAAATAGAAGAGTACAGGTACGACCATCAAAAAGGTTGGATACGAAATCCAACCAAGAGAAAACAAAAGAGCAATAGGGCAAATACAATAAAAAAATTGCAATCCTGTAAATTGCATGATTCTCTCCATCCCGTTTGAATAGAAAAAGGTGGAATCCCTTTAAATTCTTTCGTATCCAATGCCAAAAAAGACGATAAGAAATGAATGCAAACATAAAAAGTCGTATAAATCCAGACCTAGCACTCGAAATCCATGTGATCTGAGGGATAACTCTTCCAAGCAATCTTCCCGATCTTCAAAGATTCTTGCATTGCTTTCCTTCCAAATAAACCAAAACATAGCCATGTTAGCACAATTCCATTGAGTCTTGCCTTTACCATATCTACCACGCCTCTCAAATCTTCCACAAACAAAGATGTAGATGAAGCTGGAATCACCCATCTCAGACACCAATCCAAATATCTTATACGGCAAAGTCAAAACAATGGGACAAGTAAGAATAAATGACCAATGCTTTCAACATCACTTTTGCTCATCCCACACCATTGAGGGGAAAGGCAAGTATTAGTCATTTTTTAAATCATATCAAAGATATAAATCTTACCATGGCAACAGTTAATGCAAAAAGTTGCACTTTAAGAGGCACCTTAGCCTTCCAAATAAACAAAGCAGGAATAAAGAGAGGACTAGAAAGTTCATTTGGCAAAGAATCAAAACAAGGATTTACATGAGAACGTTCAGAATCAAGTAACCACCCTCTTTTATTGGATGACTCTTGATACAAAAAAGAGGCATTAAGAGTCTCAAGCAACGATATCACATCTCTAGTATCTCTATCACCCAATTTCCTACGGAATCCGAAGAATCATTACCAGTGTTTTATATTGTAGGACATGTATGTGATGCACTATCGGTGGATCCAGAGTCTCGCTGCTGCCCTGTAAAAGGAGAGCAATTCTCTTGTCAGTGAGTTATCTCGCGTTGAATTAAACCTTCAAATGCTTAAATTGGGCAGAAGTATTGTACATCTGGGCAACATTTTTGTTCTTGCTTCCAGTGGATGCAGTCTAGTTTCACAGTGCTGCGATTCATACGAATTTTGTGTTTCATGCTGCTTGCATCCAGCACGGGTATTTTGTTAATGCCAGTTTGAATAATGTTTGCATCAATCAGTCAGTCTGCAAAATGGAACTCACTGCTATGCAACATAAATTGTCCTGCAGACTCAAGAAGCACTAGCACTGAAGGTGAAGATAGCTAAGCCTGTAACAGCAGGTAAAGTTCTGTTTCGTGGTGGACAAAGATATTGTGTTTAACTAGACATGAGTATGATTGTTCTCTTTTGGGGTAACTATCACCTGATAAATACTTTGAGCTCGGATACTAAGCTGCTTAGATTCACTAGGCATTGAAAAATAAACAGAATGTTGGAAACTGCGATTAAACTACAAATTTATGCACTGATGGTTGATTTGGTGCTGTCAGGTTTTGGATTCAATTATGGCAGTTTATTATGTGCATGTATTTAAGATATATAAATTAGGAAACAGTTTTTCTTTTCCTCTTTTTTTTTTTTTTGATAGGTAAAGGAAATTTATCCTCCAGGATAAACCATGGTTTTTCTTATATAATATCCTTTTTTCCTTGTAGTTGACATACTCGTTTGTGAGGCTGACAATATTCATTATTCTTTTGGCAGGGACCTATTCAAGTCTTTTTGACTTCTGTGCTGGGAGGTGTCGTCATAATTCTCAGAGTGTGGTACGTAATCATATGTCCAGTTCTTATTGTTATCAATCATGGTTGCTGTGGCTTTATTCAGATTACGGAGCAGTTATAATGTTTATGAATTGCTTTATGCATTTTTGTCTATCAGGCTGTACTTTATGAATTACTTATGTGTTGCTGTCCATGCTAGTGGCCCATAGTGGGAAGTTTGGAATGGTCTTGAACACTACATCTTACTTGCAATTGGAGCATGGGTAAATCATGATGGACTCCCTTTGGATTGCTGATTGGATGGACTTCCTTCCGGCTTTTCTTTTTATTTCTATTCGATTTTTTTGGTTACTATGTTGTACTGAGTGTCCCTACCGTCTATCATATTATTTTTCACTGATAATTATTCCCATACTAGATTCCACATTAGCATCCAAGAAAATAGACAGTTGAGTTATAGGCATTGATTTTTCTTTTTTGCATTTAAGTCTGTTATGAACTAAGAATATTTCGATAGAACTATCCTTTGGTAGTTTAACTTTGCTTTTCTGTATGACTTTTATATAAGACCATTAACTCTCTAATGTTATTTTTTTTGTCAAGATATTTTAATTCATGGGAATTTGGATTTCAAATCTTTGCGTATATGTGTGGGTAAAGTAGCAGGATTTTTGGTGTGTAAAGTAGGGGAGTGGCCTTTGAATTATTTGGGTTTACCTTTTGGTGGAAACCCATTGTCATTATCTTTTTTTGGATCCAGTGGTGGAAAGAGTGGGAAAGAGATTAGATGGTTAGAACAGAGCATACATATCCAAACTTGGTAGGTTAAGTCTTTTGCAGTTAGCCTTAGATAGTATCCCAACATACTTTTTATCTTTGTTTAAGATGCTTGGAAAGATGGTTACGAAGATAGAAAAAATGATGAGAGATTTTTCGTGGGAGGGAATTGGTGAGGGGAGAAATGATCATTTGATTAGTTGAGAGGAAGTTTCTAGACCGAGGAATAAATGTGGTCTTTCGATTTGTGAAGGCTAGAAATATCTCTAATTTGGAGGTTTCCTTTAGGAAAAAATTCTCTTTGGCATTTAGTTATTAAGAACAAATATAGTTTTAAGCCAATAGATGTGGCACTAATACGGTTAAGAGGGGAAGTTCTAGGTGCCCGTGAAAATTCATATCTCAGGGTTTGACAAGGTTTTCCCACAATCTTAAGTTTGTAGTGGGTAATGGGGAGATAATTCGTTTTTGGGAGGATCCTTGGGTGGAGGACATTATCTTTGCATTTTTGCATCTACATCTTTTTCAATTATCTTGTTTTCATGATGCATCCATTTCTTCCATGCTTCGGTCTTTTAATCATCCATGCTTCAATCTTTTAATCATCCATGCTTCAATCTTTTAATCATCCATATTCTTGGGACTTTGGTTTCCGTAGAAATCTAGATGATAGAGATACTTTGGAGTTGATCTCATTTCTTGCCGTTATTGATGACTTTTTGTTGTCTCACGAATCATGTGATAAAAAAAGGTGGGTGCTTGAGTTGTCGAGTGTTTTTTTCACTAAATCCTTCTTTGATTTTTGGGTAGTCCATCCCATGTCCTCCATTTATTCCTACTATGATGATTTGAAAAACAAAAGTGCCTATTAAAGTGTAAGTTTTTGCATGGATTGTTGTAAATGTAAGATTAATACTAATGATATGTTTTAGAAAAGAAGCAATACTACTTGTCTCTTCCCGCGATGGTGTGTAAAAGTGATTATGAAAGAATTGATCATTTATTTTTAGATTGTCCTATTGCTTTGTTTTTGTGGTATAAGTTGTTTAACTTGGCGGGCTTGAGTTAGGTGCTTTGCAAATTATCCATATTTTTGTTTGTTAAAGATTTGAAAGGCATTGGGATCTCTTGATAAGGGTGTCACTCTATGGATTTGTGCAATAATTGTAACTTTTTGGGTTATATAAAAGGGGAGAAATGTAAGAATTTTTGAATATAGGCGTGATTGTTTAGATGAATTTTAGGACTGAATTTATTTCTTATTGTCATTTTGGGCTTTTGTTTCAAAGGAGTTCAGAGGAATTCGACTTTTTACTATCTTATTGGGAAGGAAAGCTTCATGTTATTTATTGGCTTTTTATGTCTTTCCTTCCTTTGTTATTTTTCTCTTTCCTTTCTCTCCTTTGATTTCTTATCCAATAGTTTTTGATGTATTTATGATTTTTAATATAAGAAGTTACATTTTCTATAAAAAAAAAAAAAATGTATGAACATTCAAAGAGAGGGGTTTGGTGTCGTGTGGGCAATTTGCTTGGTATTAGAGAGGGGAGAAGAAATAGCCGTAGGGTTGGTGTTCGGAGGGGGTTGGGTGAGAAATAGAGAGGTGGGAGCGTGGGGGTTAAATGGAGAGAGAGAGAGAGAGAGAGACTAGTTTAATTCCAGAAAGCATGATAATACCACTTCAAATTGTTAGAAACCATATGGGGTGCTTGTGTATTTTGCTTTTTTGGTCAACCATCAAGTGAGGCACACGTGGTATTTTCGATTACCATTTTAATACCATTTAAACACAATGTTTTAGGGATGACATTGCAAAAAATGATACTTTGGGACCAAAATGAGATAAACGCCTGCATTGGTGTTTGGTTTGATTCGAGTAGCTCGAGCTTAATCCCGACTACTTTTTTACTTGTTCAGCTATTCGTATGATAATATGAACATAATGAGATCAAATTTTGAGTCTTGTTTTGTGTACAAACCAAGCCTGACCCAGCCCAAACTATTCTCAAGTTTGAGTTGGTTTTGCCAGTTATATATTTTAATTGCTTTTTCCCACCAAGACAAAACATACTTGCAAACAGTTAGGATTACAATGTGTATTTGGATAGAAACAAACAGACCTACCCCTACATAATAAGAGAATCTAGTCTTCACATGGTGCCCCCCAATTTAAAAAAACCAAAAATTGTCTCTTTCTCTCACTTTGTCTACGTTAATTCACCTTGAGCCTTGAGCTCATCTGAAGGACTGAACCCCATTTCTTTCCTTCCGTCTTCTTCTATTTCTCTCCGTCTCACTAAAGTTTATACGACTGTTTGAACATGTGGAGACTCCTTCAACTTGCTCCTTGTTCTTGAAGCTGAACAAGACTACAACCACCAACCACTCTCAATCTTTACTGACAAAATAAATTATTTGGTTGCGAGTCCCCCCCTTCTATTTGGTAATTATAGATAGTTTGGGAAAATTTGAAGGTTTAAGTTTAATTATATGGTTCAATTTTGAGGTATTAATAGTTTTGGAGATTTTTTGTTTGACAAGATGTGATCAATTTTGGCTTGAGCTCTGTTCAAAATCTCGCCGTGCCGAGCTTAAACAAAATTCTGAGCACAGCAGTTAAGCTCGGGCCAATTCTGAGTAGGGGCATGGATAACTGAGCCGAACTTGAACATACTCAAGCTCGATGAAAACCCCCAAGTGTTTTCCAGTACTACATTTTATCCAACAAATAATGACTTTCTGGTTTTTGATTTGTTGAAGTGTTTTAACGGCTTCATGGGTCTTATATAATTGGAATTAAGTGTAAAGCTGTCATATTCAATGATGTCATGATCTCATAGGTGTAGCTGATTGTTTAGTTTTTTTCAGCGAATTCTAATGTATCTAAGAATCATGAGGAAGCAAGGAGCTTCTACCTCATAATTGAGGTTTATTTCTCGAGTGTTCCTAAATCATATCTGCCCTTATGGTTTTTTGGATGTGTAATACCCTCAGGAAGTAGTACTCGTCATTGTTATATTGGATTGCAGCTTCCCGTTAAAAAAAAATAAAAAAAATTGGATTGCATCCTCTCAACATTTACAGAATTACAATACTACTACAGAATTACAGTTTTTCATGCTGTGAAAGTTTGGTTCATTTTGAAATGACTTTTGGATATTTCAGGTTCATGAAAACGCTTACCTTAGTGATTTCCATCATTGTTTTTCTATGGCACCTAATTCTTCAGGTGAGTGTGGAGATGTTTTTGGTATGTGAATTATATTGATTGCTTTGTTTCTAAACATAATTAAATTTCACTTGACATTTTGGTGAATAGACTTTTCTTTTGTCGTAAATGCACATGATGGCATTGGGTTACATAGTTTTGATAGTGCTCAATAGCAGTGACATTGCTGTGACTAAAGCAGTCTTGAAATTGTTTCATTACGAATGATTGCATATGGTCACATCCCTAGCTGGTGCCCTGTTTAAGACTGAGGTCGATTCAGAACAGTTAAAACTTGAATAATTATGAAATACTAACGTATAGGATATTTATTGCCTATTCCCTATCATATATTTAAATTGGATTGATAAGTAGAACATAATAGGAAAATATATCAATAGGAAAGTAACACTCATGCCCCCTTAAGCTTGAACATAGACAACTTGGAACAAAGGCTAGTAAAGGTGGAACGGGTCAATGGTTTGGTAAGAATATCTCCGGATTGATCACCAAACTTTACAAATGGGGTCATAATATCTCCACATAAACAATGCGTATAATAGATCCAAACCATGCTCTGGTTGACTGCTGCACCCATATTTCTTTAATAGACACACACTACTATGATACTCTCCCTAAGCAAAAAACCTAGGTCAGCATGGAAGTTTAAGATATGAACTGAATGACAACAATACAAACACAACCAACAACACTACAATGAAACATAGACAACAACCATAAAAAACAAGGCAAACCAAACCAAAACCGGAGTTGAATCAGCCCAAAAAAGGCATGAAACAATGCTGAAAAGCACAAAACCAATCCTGAGCCGAGCTGCACCGAACCGGTCTGAAAACTAGGGCTGAGCTTTGACTCGGACGGATTCGGAGGGCATGCATTCAAACTCCAACTCTAACTGGTCAGATTCCATTTTGCCCTCCGAGTCCGACTAACTATAACTCCGCCTTCGACTTTGTTTGTTGGAGGTAGAGCAGAGTTTCTAAGTTGGGCTAGATTTGGAGAAGAGATCAACTTTGCATTTCCTACATATCAAATTCTCTGAAAAAATCTGTAATCTACAAATGAAAAAAAAAATCAGTTGAAAAATCCCGTTTGTGCTACAGACTTGAACCAAAAAAAATTCAATAGTTTGCATCAATCCAAAACCACCGATTTAAACTAAACAAAACCAGATCGAAAGAGCCAAAAAGAGAAAAGAAAAAGTGCACTTGAAAAGTCCAAACAAAAAATAGAAAAGAAATAAAAATTTCACCAACCCTTCTGTATCCATTGATATCTCTACTTCAAAAATCTTCCGTCAAAAAACACAAGATAAAAAGAAAAAATCAACCTCAGGATATTTAAGTTTGAGCAAATTCAAAGATCTCTGAAATTTGGGGATTTAGGGTCCAAAAATTGAAAACCTAGGAATTGGGGATTTAGCATTCCAAATTTCGACTAAGAGAAGAGGAGAGAAGGAAGAGTGTCGTGGCCGTCAACGGAGGCAGAAAGGGTTGGGGTTGTTCCGGTTCGAAAGTTGACAGATTCAGAGAGAGAGAGAGAGAGAGAGATGAAATAGGGCTGACTTACTGCTTACACTTAGAAGGAAGACAGTCATGGCCGTTGGCAGAGGTAGAGGTAGGGCTGTTCGATGCTCAAGAGAGAGAGAGAGGGGACTGGATGGCTGGTAAGTTTACGATTAGGGATATAGGGTTTGGGGTTATTATATTTTTATGAAAATCACTACACCAACATTAACCTAGGCAGAGAGCTAATGAACCGACACTAAATCGGGTTGGACATGTAGACCACAACAACGGGCAAACATAGAGATGGCTACAACCCTACGTATGGAGGACCGACCCAACCCCTAGGTGAGTATGCTGCTCGCCTAGAGCCCCCATTCGCCTAAGTCCAACTCACTCCAATATATTGCTCATATACCAAGTTAAAATTTGAATAATTGAGTTTTACGATTTAGGGAAAGAAAGAGATATGAAACAATATTGTGCATGGGATCTGCATTGCCTACGCCCTATCACGTATATATATTGGATTGATCTTGAAGACGATGACTATATTGGGAATGTTGAACATAATAGGAAAACAACATATTAAGAAAGTAGAACAATAAGAAAGTAAAATAATAGGAAAATAGAATAATAGGAAAGTAACACTCTTAACAGAAAACCGGTGCTATTACCTTCATCAAATCCCTATCTTCCCAGGGTGAGTGAGTTCGTTTGCGCTTTCTTTGGTCTTTGCCCCCTGCCTATTTCTTTTGGATTGCTCTGTCCTCAGTATTCTTTGGCCACAATGGGTTCCTAGCTTATTTTGCCACCTGAAAAATATACTTCGATCCTTTCAGGCTGTATTTAACATGTGTTTCTTTGTATGCTGTTTCCCTATTATCTAGAGATAAGTTGGTGTTTGGTATGATATTTTGCCCTTTTTGATCGTGTGAAGGTTTTTTCCTCTTTCATTTCTACCTGTGAATACAGCATTGACAACAGTCCCAAACTGAGGATGATATAAAATCATGCTTCAATTGCTGAGGGTGCAGTGTATTTGAAAATCATTAGGCAATGCATTGGGGTGGAATATTGGTTGTTCTTCTTTGAAAGACGATTCATTTGCTGTATTGACGCGAGCAGTGTTCTCAGATAGATAATCCCCAGTCTTTGATTCAGTATAATATTTTCTTATTCAGGGTTCTATTTGAACAAGGAAAATAATTGAGTTGCCCACAATTTATTGCAATTTGGTTGTCTCTCCCATAAAAGGCAAAAATTGCATTTTGCATTGGCTGAAGCAGTGTTACTTTATAATTGTGATGAAAAACAGTGTTATAGTCAAATGTAGATTTTGAGAGCTGACTAATAATTGGAGAATAAGAAGGTATGATAGGCCGAAGAGTTGATGGAAAGGCCAGAAGATGTAACTCTCTTCCATTTTAAGATAATTAATCAATGAGACACTAAGAAGATGCTGGAATTGGCTTGTGCACCTTGATGGATAACTCTAGGAAATAATTCATTCTGATTTACATCACCTTTTGTCTAGCATTATTAGGATTTTGTCGAAATCGGAGTCTACAGATGCTTAAAATGAAATTCCTAGTAATCATAATACCAGTACAACACCCTTATGCCAATTTTAGGACTCGAATTGTAGTCCTCAAAGATTGAAACTCCAAAAACATGATGCATAGAGTACCAGAATCTTTACCTTGAATGGGGACAAAATTTAACCAAAAGCCAAACTATTTCGGTTGGCTACATAAATTCTTCCTTGGAGAGGTCGAACCTGAAGTGATGGCTAATGATCATCCATCCTAGCAATACATTATGGGTTCGAGTTGGGAATCAGCTTCTCCTAGATGGGGTAAGGCTGCCTACCACTTACCTTTCCTAGAATCCGCTATAGATGAGAATCTTGTGCACTTGGGTATGGACTTTTTTGATAAATTCTGGATTATGTTTCAGTTCTATCATCTTTTTCCTTTAAATCAGAGGTTATTATCTTCTTTTTACCCTAATCCTTCTACATTTTATTCTTCCTTTCAAAAAATTTAGCTTAGCAACTTGAATTAAATCATTATTCTGGATGACCCAATTATCTTATATAAGGAGGCAAATTGAATGTGCCAAATCGTATTTACCATTTTGTGTTCCCAATGTAAAGACTGTCCCATTCTTATGTATTCCTTTAAGATGACTTGGGTTTTATGTTTAGACGAACTTAACCAGGCTGATCCATCTGGATCCCATAGTGGCAGGAATTTTGTACTCTGGACTACCTTTTTTAACGGGTGTTTATATAATATATGCACCATTCTTCCTTGTGATTTAGCTCTAGCAAGTTTTTTCCCTCGACTGTTGAGCTCAACATATGTTGAAGTTTGGCTCGACTAGCGCCAAAGACAAGCTCAATTTGTCAGCCAAAAAAATCTGAAAATGAAACCCTAGAGTCCTGAATTTCTTAGCAAAATCACAAAGAATAGGCATAATCAACCCCAAAATTAAATCTAAAACTTGAAATTCTCCCACAAATGTAGAAGATCTCGTGAAAAGGGAGGGAGTCATAGTGAAAGGATTTATTTCGTTGGTGGTGGTAATCTTGTTCAGCTTCAAGAATAGGGGGAAATCGAAGGGGGAGTCTCCACGGGGTCAAGAAGTCTCAGAGGTTTCAAAGGGAAGGAGGAAAAAGGAGAAAGAAGAAAGAAGAAAGAGGCGATTTGAAGATCAAAGGAGGGGAGAGATGGGGTTTAGTCGTTCAAATGCGTTTGTGAATGAAAGTGAATTAATGTTTTGGTTTTTTTTTTTTATAGGTAATGGAAAAAAAGATTTTGTATTTTTTAAGTTTGGGTTTGTTTCTTTTACCCAAAATACCATTGGGGATCCTTCCTGGCTATTGCAAGTATTTTTGTTTTGTTGGGAAAACAATCAAAATATATAAATGGTAAAATGAGCTTAGGCTCGTGAATAGCTTGGGCTAGCTTCGGATTCAAAATGAACTTGAAAATTTGATCAAATTTTCTTCATAATATAACATTAATGAGCTTGATTGACTAAAAAACGAGAAGAGCCAAGCTCAACCTACTCTGTTTAACAATTCTAGTCATCATTTCATTTTACTATTCTAATTTATGTGTCTGTTTTGTCCTTTTTATCAATTTCACCCTTCAAACATAAATTCAATCACCACTCCATCCTAAATAGGACTTATTTTGAGAAGCAGAAGTGCCATATCATGTTGCCATTTCATCAGAGTTCTTTGGAATTCTGAAAGATTAAGTGGTTATAACATTGTAGCTGATTAAGCATGAGCCACGAGGGCAATGTATTGGACATGACTCCAGAAACATGGGAGTTCTCAGGAACATGCTTAGTGAATGCATGTTATTTCTTTTTCCCATTGTGCTACTTTTCGGTAGGTTTTGTCCAACTAGATGTCTTGCCCAGGTATGCTGCTACAGAGGGATCTGATTCTGGTGGTTTTGATCTTCTGTACAACAGGGTCAACTGATGTGCAAATGGAAGCAAGACTGGCTGGCATTAGTGTTATTATTGGAAGGTAGGCATGCTAGTTATTCTTCCTATTGTGTGATTATGAGATGTTGAAAATCTAACTGGATCTTACTCTTTTGAACTTTACACATGGGAGACAGGCAAGGGGAATCTTGTGACTTTGTTTGCAAGTCAAATGGCAAATCATGTCTCCCCAACAAACTCGCTTTGCTTAATCAGTGTGAAATGTAAGCTTACTTGTATGTATTGTCTATTTTGTCTTAGTTTGCTTATGCAAAATCCTCAAAATATAGGAGGTGTAGCATCTTAAGAGTAATGCTTGTTTTCTCTAATGATCTTAAAGAATTTGTATTTATCCCAAACAAACCGAAAAAATGGCATATTTTTAAGCATTGTTCAATCTGTTTTTCCCTTATTTTCTGTGAGGAGAAGTAGAAGGGCAGTAGGTTAATTCCATGTCGTATGCCCCCATGTTGATCTGGCAAAATCATTTTCCCCTTGACCATTTTTTACCTCAAGTCAACATACTCCTCATCCCACGTAAAGGTTCGAAGTATCGGCCGAGTCGGATACGACTCGGCCGAGTTGTATCCGCCTCGGCCATCCCCGCGCCGAGAATGCTACACGGTACGCGAATAACACAAGACTCAAGCGAATCGGCATTGACTCGGTCACGACTCGGAGATATCGGTTGAAATCATAGTCGAATCGTTCCAATCGGACCGCGTCGTACCGAGTCTCACGGAGTTAGACCGAGTCATCAATAGATCAATGTAAAAAACCAGAAAAAAGACATGGGGTGAAGAAGAAGACCAATTCTACATGAAGATTTCCAGACCTAAAGATGTAGAAACTAAAGTAGAAGAAATCAAAAAACCCTAAAACTGAAATTGAAAGGATTTGGAGAAAAACCTATAGATCATGTACAGTACATACAACGGCTGTAGTACAGGCTATACTGTACAGTCCCTTCCTTCTTCTTCATTCGAGTGTCAGAGTAGCGACTACAACCCTTTCTTCTCCATTCGAGCGTCAAAGCAGCGGCCCCTCTTTTTTTCTTCGCACAAGCAACGCCGACGGTAAGCGGGTAAGGTCTCTTTCTCTCTCTCTCGCAGTCGTCATCGTCACCGTCGCTGGTGCTTAAGAGAATTTGTGTCTTGGTCTAAATATCTCTACTGAGTCTTTATACTAAGTATTATTATAATAGACAAATAAGAGTGTCAGATTTTAATAAAATTATATTCTATTCATTATATACATATAAAAGAGATTTTACAATTAAAAACATAATACATATGTAATTTATAAGTAAAATAAATTTCTCAAAAAAATTTATATATTCTAAAACGCAAAATTAACATAATGTTTTTTGTATTTTTTAACTTTTTTGACTATGTATAAATAAGTATTAAAGCTATATTATATCTAGATTTATCCTTATGATGAAAATAACTTACTCGGTTTGTATAGTTAACTTAGAGACAACAATTACGATTTAAATCTTATCTATTTAGGACATATGATGCATGGATTATGTTGTTTACTTTATTTTTTTTATGTTCTTTGTAATTTTATTAGAATTTTTTGGACCTTCTATCAAGCATTTTACCCGTATCGGCCGATACTGTACTGTGACACTGCGACCGATGTGTATCAGTGCCCTCCGAGTTGAGAGCCGATACCGCGACTTTAAACCATGCATGTAAAGGACCCGTGAGGTTAGACCGTAAGGGGCATACTCCGCAAAACCTGAATTGATTGATAAGTGTTGGTAGCCACCCGCTTCAGTGTGGTTCTTCCCTATATTGTACATTGAGCATTGCAGCAATCTTCTCTCCCATTGATGTCCTCAACACCACACAACAGGTAGCATTACGTTTTTCCCTGTCACGAGCTGCCTCTTGATCCTGCTTATAAGAAATTTTCTCCTAATTACACCAATATGAGTGCCGAAAGCAGGGGCCTCAGGACACCATTATATACACTTATCCTGGTCATCGACTGTGCGTGTGCAATTATCTTGTGGCTCGTCTCATAGGAACCCAGTGAGGCATGGGACATGGCATCTTGTACTGAAGCCCATTAAGTTATCATCCCCGAAACTAGTGTGAAGATAACTTGCCAATCTGGGAATGAGACAGATCCCAAAATCTCGCAGATTCATACAGGTACAGTATCTGAAATGTTTCTTTAGGACAATATTTGTACTTCCACATCAGGAGACCTCATGGATGTCTACCCTGCTTTGCGATACAACTTAACCACTTCTGGAATCGGATCTCACTTGCCCACTATTATCAATGCCCTGTACCTTTAGCAGGGAGTTCAACAGTACTTTTTAAAGCACATTCTTTCACCTCTGTCTATTAAGGTAGAGCATTAAAGTAATTGCCCTTTCTACTAAAAGGCTCGCAAACTTGCATGCTCTGAAATCCCACCGAGCCACTAAGTGGAAGCCACTGGAACACTTTGGATAGCCTTCTCTCTCTTTCTCTAGACTGTCTCGTAAGCCTTACCTTAACCACCCTTCCTGTCGAGGGTTTCATGGCTAATGATTCCACCCTTCCTGTCGAGGGATTTTACACTCGCGAAATGTACATTACATAAACCTGAACAAGTGGTGTGGAATTGCACCAATGGCACCCTAGTGCATCAGATTAATGTGGAGTCTGGTTATGTCAGATGTATGTAGCCATATCCCCCATGTGTGGCAAGGATGTTTGCACCATGCTATGAGTTATTATCAGTATTGTTTTGGGGGGTTTTGTTTTGTTTTGTTTTTTGGTTTTTGGGGGTGGGGAGTTTTCAAGGCTTCGATTGACTATCAAATACCAAAGTTTTTTCTTTCCCGCTTCTAATTTAGTGGTGTTCTTTGGACAAATCAAAATCATTTAATGTGCATAGATCAACATCCAGGTTTATGCTATGAGAAGAAGACAAAACAGGTTATGAATAGAGCAACGAATGACTTAGTAGTGTGTTGTTGCATTGAAGTTTTACTCTAGTTAAGAGTGTAATGATGTTGCAGATTTTATGTAGCTGACTCCACAAGGTAAAACAAGGAAGGATGTGAGCTGGAACGAGGATTTATTCGATTCACCTAGGTTGAGTATTGACGATGACACAGATGATATGGTGAATAAAGCTGTGACCCTGTTTACTTCTCCTTGATAGGATGTATCGGGAGGATGAATTGGGTATAAGCCTTAGCATGTAAAGATGGTTTTTAGGTCTTTAGCAATTTTAGAAGGATTCTCCCACAACTTAAATTTGGGATAGTGTTGTCCTAGTTTCTAACTATTGATCATTATGTTTCGTAACTGTTGATATGCTATGGATTTTTGACCCTGAGTTGAGTGCATGCCGATTTTGTGGTGTGGACTCATTTCTCGTCGGTATTGGTTGTTGCATGTTCGTAATGGCACATTTCAGCCTAACATTATGCGACTGCAACTGTCAATACTCAAACTGGGTGTTATTTTTTTAATGTTTGGGTGAAAGACTACATGCTTGTTGCTTTCTAATTTATCGTAATGGGTCTAGTAGGTGGGTACGTGTTAAAATTTCAAGCCCTCTTCTGTTGAGTTTTAATCATTTTGGGTCCCAAGTGAAGACCCATATGCTGGTAGAATTGAACTTGTGTGCAGTTCATAAGCTGCTGCACCTATTTGGCTGCTTTCTTGGCTGGGGCACTTTAAACTTGAGATTCCTGGCTGTGCCACATGTAAGTTTGAAGATCAACCAATTGCTGGAGTTTTTTTAGCCATGTGCTGGTTTTGACCAACGTGCCCCATGCTGGTTTTTCTTTATAAAATTTCTGTTGTTAATCTTCTGATATGAATTTTCTCTGCTAATTTTGTGTGGCTATTATTCCCTGTTTTAATTTCTCTTTTTTATTAAGTTTGATGTTCTATGTGTTCAGTGACTCTTCTTGCTTTTTTCCTTGTTTAAAACTTGTTGATTGATTTGCATTTATTTTTCTTCATGTCATGAGTAAACAATGCTTCTGTGTGTCAAAATATTAATTAAAATGTGACAATTGAGATCAAGAGTGCTAAAACATGCATATCTTTGAGTTTTAGTGGGGTTGCTAACGACTGAGAAAATTGATGACTGAGTCACCTGTTTCCCATTACACCTTGATCGAAAGGCCTGGTGCCATTACACCACGAACATCACCATTACATAGCTTGATACCGTTATTTTAATACCCTGGTGTCGCCTCTTATGAAAGCTTGGTGATGTACAATAATTCTTAGTGGACAGAATGCACTGGGATCAATCATCCTTGATTAAAATTTTTACCTATTGTTTTATAGGTTTTTGCATGAATAATAAAAGATTGGTTGCGAACTCTAATGACGACATTGCAATAAAGCTTTCATTGATAGTTTTCCTAATCTTGTTTTTCTTTGTTTTTATGGTATTGTTGTTTTCAAGCTTTCTGTTGTAACTCTACGTTTATTTGTTTCTTTATGAATAGTATGCAGAAATATATGAGCTGCAAAGGAGCATGTTTGGCAAGTATTGGAGCAGACCAACCAGCTGAAGTTGTTGAAGATGCCCCTAGACATTTGGTACACTTTTGGAATTGCACAGGAGTATTGTTATAGTCTATTACTTTGTCATCTATTGATTTTGACATGATGTAGTTTGGAGTATTTTTTTTAATATTTTATATTCTGTGCTTTACTGGTTATTTTAGAAGATTGGTGCTTTTTAAATCATTGACAAACTATGAAAAGCATTGTGTAGTTTTAATATGTGTGAACAAATAATGGCTTTTAAAAACCTTTGACATTGGAACTCCATTTTATAATAGGAAAATTTTTCTCACACAGACACGGTATTACAAACTATGAAATGTCATGATGTATTTCTGATATGTCGGTTATCATGTTATTGCAATATGACCAATTGCAAATGATCTTGGAAATATTGTGATGCATGATTTTGTGTTATATGTTGTATAGTGTACTATCACGAACTTGTGTTTCCTCTTTCCTAAAGCATAGGCATAATTTTGTGCTCTGCTGGTGATTACAAAATTTTGACACTGCAAATAGCAGCCAAATATTGTTTCACCATACAGAAGTTATTGCAATATACTAGAGATGCATTGGAATTCAGTTTAAAATAACAGAATATTGGGGACATCAGATCTGGAACATCGAAAAACATATGGAGGCAACAATGCATTTCATTACATAGAGAATTCACTAGATAGCTCCATTTCACTGGCAGAATCTGGAATATGCCTATCTGACTCTTCAGTCATTTTTATGTGGATTTCACCATTCTTATAAGTGGATTACAGCAATGGAGTCCCCTCCCTCTCTCTCTTTCTCTGTCTCTGTCTCTGTCTCTTTCTCACCCACACAGGAGAGTGCAATTTTCATTCTTATTCCAGTGGGTTGCATACGTTTTATGGTCTGTCAAGCTAAAAAAGACACATCATCATGCCTGAAAGTTGGTGTGTACCATCAAAACATTGGTTATGAACTTGTACAATTCTTGAGTACTTTACCCGAGTGCTCATTTGGCTTGTGCATTTGTATTCAGCAACTTCCTTTATATTGATGTAATGACATTTTGTTTTATTCTGTTTCTTGCTTTTGTTCATATTTCCAATAACAAATTTTGGTACATTGCACACAATATATGTCAAATATGTGCATTTTTATTTGAAATGATTGGACTCTAAATCGTGCATGAACCTCTCTATTCAGTATGCATGAACATCTCTATTCTGTAAGTTATACTTAGAAGTTCCATGATTTTGCTATAAATATCTATACCTGGTCCATATGTATAAGCTCATTTGAACACTGTAATGTTTCCTTTCTCTCACATATACACATATTCCTTATCGGAGAACCACTTTTGTCATTTGACTGCAGAGTATCGGCATTGGTACTTGTCTGATGAGAACATTAGATTTACTGGAAATAATTAAGTGAATACTTATTCTGTTTTAGTGTTATTTTTGGGTTGATGTTATAAGATTGTTTGTAAATTAATGCATTCACAACATATTCTCTTGAGTTTTTACGAGACTTTCATTTTGAAATAGATGATACAGACACATCAACATAATATTCATGCAATAAGCTTTCTTTGAATTTTTTTTTTGTCTTTTTGTTCTTCAGAATCCAGGAGCATGCTTGTACACTCGAACGCAATCAATGCTTTCTTGTGATGGGTTACATCGACATACAAGGAGGCTTTGCCCTTGTGCATAGAACATTTATTGGGTAAGTTTTCTTTCTTGATAAGCTTTTCAAAACCAGTAGAGCAGGATAGAAGTTTCATTTAATGAGAACCACAGAAATTGTGGTGTGTATACCTGGTCTACATAAACTGGATATCACTTTAGTGCACAGAAAATTAATGATTTCTCTTTTGACTTACCGGGAGCGGAAATTTATCAACCGTGGATTCATCTTCAAATGTGTAAGAGGCTGTGTATTTTTAAGCTTTGTGGATGTAGAAAAACTATGGGCCTATTTGGTTTGCATCTCAAAAAATAGTATCTGAAAACTATTTTTGAGAAGAGTTTTAAGTAAGTGTTTTTAAAAAGTTTTAGATTACAAAACCTGTTTAGTTATATATTTTTGAAAATAGTTTTAAAGAATAAAAATTATAAAATTTGTTTGGACAATAATTCACAATTCCCACCTCCAATTCTCTGTCTCTCTCTTTCACTGGGTATCACCCAACACCCACAACCGAGAACCATCATCAACCACCATCAACCCAACACCCAACCCACAACCACCACCAACCCACACCGAGAACCACCTAATACCCACAACCACCACCAACCTACACCGAGAACCACCCAATACCCACAACCACCACTGCCACCCAAACCAAGAACCACCCAATAGATCGTGCCAAAAACAAAAAATTAAAATCAAACCAAGCAGACCCTAAAAATGGGATCATTTATTGCAGTAGATCTGTTAGCCAGAGCTGTGTTGCAGCAGATCTGTTTTAGTATTGAAGGGATAATGAAAAAATCAAAACAAAAATAAACCCAAAAAAAATCGTGCGAAAAACGAAAAAAAAACCCGGATCTATGACTTACTTGAGTCGCCGAAGTTACGCCTGTGATTAGCCAGAGTTGTGCCTTCACATCTCTGGATCTGGGTTTGACTCATCCAAGATCTTCGCAACAGATAGAGAGAGAGAGAGAGAATGTCGGGGGGAGAGGGAAAAAAAAAGAGAACCCTTTTATATGGTGCAATAAGTGTACAGTAAAAATGGTTGGTTGTGTTCCCGTGTTTTCCATAAATCCGAAGAGCGGTTCTTGAAAATGGAGAAAATATCTTTTAGATGTTCTCTAAAATTACGTTTTTGTTCCCAAAATTTTGAAAAAATTGCAGAACGAAAAACTAACCAAATAAGTTTTTGAAGAGTTTTAATGTTTTGAGAACAAAAAACAGTTTTTCAAAATCAAACCAAGCAGGCCCTAATGTATTTTTGCTCTCTTCAGTTCCTTTTTCATCATGTCTAGATCCTCATTCTTTGCCTTCTATACCTTTGGATTCTTTTTAGTTGTACCGTTCATTATTTCGGTGGAAATAATATTAGAGAAACTTCATTAACCACAAAATAGTGCATATATGTGTTTTGTAAGACTCAGTTGATGTTCACTTGTGCAGGGAGGGAGGACCACTAAGGTAGAATGCTTGAGCATGATGGACGGCTTTGCACTAATATCAGGTGGTTGTATAGTTATTGTCGAAGTTGTCAAAACAGGAAAATTGTATAGGGGACACACCTGCTTAGTTCCGGCTCAAGTCTTTCAAGAAGATGGAGGATATCATGTGCATCCCTCATAGTTGATTGTCATTATAGAAAAATTTGGTCCAACAGACATAAATTTTAATTATTATGTGGGAGTAAAGGCTAGGAGTAATACAGATAGCGGTTTGATTTGAGAATCATTGTCTCCAAACAGGGGTAAGACTCTTTATCATCCATTTCTACCCGACCCTGTAATAGGTGGAAATTCTTTTGTTACGACCCTTTTTGGGTATTCTTGGTAGGGGTAATTTATTTAATATTGAATCGGAAGAGTTTCCACGTAAAAACAAGCATTACAATCAGGCTATTCCTTCTCTTTTTGCAAGATTTTCTTTTTTGATTTTACGTACTCATTAGAATGGCACTCCTACATTGTAATGCAGAGTTGCGTATGCCCTTTTTTCTGGGATTTTCTGGTGAGATGAGCCCGGCAGAGTTACATTAGTGCTCTTATTTCATAAAATCAATAAAGGAGGAGGGTTGCGTCAGGTAGTCGATAGTCAGCGTAAAATTTTGTCCTATTCACTATGATGAGTTCTAACAGTGATATATGCGCTAATGCTAGGTTGTTGAATGAAATAATAAAAAAAGATATAAAAATATTTAAGTTAAATGAGTGTATAGCATATGACGAAAATAAATGAAAAAGAAAGACTCATATAATCAACTCCAAATGATCGGGATATATCAATGGACATTTGGTCTAATGGTATTTTATCTTTTAAAGGCATTGCCTTCTTGAGGTTAAGGTTAAGGGTTCAAATTTCCATCTTTCTTCCCCTTCCCTTTTCCCTCCCCCTCCCCCCCCCCCCCAAAAAAAAAAAAAAAAAAAATTACCGAGACATAAGACTTGGTTTTGATTTGGTTTGGTTTGGATACTAATATGAAAATTAATTCTTTGTTGTACATCTCATTTTGAGTTATTTGTAATTATTGATCTATGAAATGATACAATTACAAGATTTTACATGTATTACTTTGTAATTTTCCCCCAAAAAAAGAGACATTCGGTACCCTGTGGTACTCAATATTCAATATAGCTCTACAGCAGGATATGCATAACTTCTCTCCTACGGATGTCTTTGTTTGTCGGATAGCATTTCTTGGTATTGGCAAATACTATACATACCAAATTTATCAAAAGAGAAATTAGCACCGGTATTAAATATAAATTCAGTACAATCTCTTGTTTGTTTGAGTATTAATGGATTAGGTGGGATTTACCATAAAAGAAAAATGTCAGGTAATTTTTTTTAGACAAAAGATAATTTTAACCTTAGATATTATATGGGGATGTGTACAAAGAGGTATTATAGATATTTGGGAAAATTTCAACTATATTTCCTCTAGTTTACCATATTTTCAATGACATCTTTTATTTTTTTTGAATTTTCATTGACACCCCCTATCAGATTTAAAAATTAATTAGAATACAATTTTATAAAATTGCCCTTGATATATTTGAGGACAAACTTCATCCATACCCCCTCTAGATAATTATATCTTTGATGAAACTCCCTCTGTTTTCTAAATTTTTTTACGCATTAAAATTCGAATCAATTAAAATTCGATTTGAGCTAATTAAATTTATTTTTCACATATTAAAATTCGAGTCCATTAAAAATTATATTTTTTTACATATTAAAATTTGAGCCAATTAAAATTCTATTTGAACCAATTAAAAATTATTTTTAATCGACTCAAATCAAATTTTAATCAACTCATTGAATTTTAATTGACACAAATTTTAATAAATAAAAATATATAAATTTTAATCGAGTCGAAGCGAATTTTAATCAACGCTAACAATTCAGATAAAGCTCAAATCGACTAGAATTTTAATACATAAAAAAGAAATTTTAATAAGCTCGAATTTTAATACATAAAAAAAAATTTTATCAGCTTAAATCGAATTTTAATTAGCTCAAATTCTAATATGTAGAAAAATAAATTTTAATAAACTCAAATTTTAATATGTTAAAAAATAAATTTTAATCGGCTTAAATTTCAATTGATTTTTATGTTGAAAATTGTTTGGAGTTTAGATAGGAGCATTTTTGGTATTTTAGATGATTTTTTTTTTTAAAAATAGTGGTTTGGTGGCAGGAGTGTCAGTGATGTTAAAATATAAATTAGAAGAAGTGTCAGTGATATTTTTGATAATAGATGTGGTGTCTTTAAAGATATAGTAAACTAGAATGAGTGTGACTAAAGTTTTTCCTAGATATTTTATAATTTATACTGTCGGTGGGAATAATACCGCTTTATTATGCCATTTACTAGGTGATATTGAATATACCTATGTACATGGTTATATTATTACTGTAGCAATTGGGTCGAAAAACAGATCTGAAAAATAGTAATGGCTTTAAATTGTAAAAAAAATAAGATATAAGTGGATCTCATTTATTAATTTATTCTGTTTTACCTCCTAATACCACATATATGTGGCAAACAAACACTCTATAATTCTTAGAAAATAGAGTATATGTTGTAATTAATGTTAAGGACAGTGCTATGGTCTAGTCGTAAAAATAATAAAAATAAAATGATATTATTTTATATATGTCATATTTAATGTTAAGTAGGGGTGTAATTTGCACGGGCCAACCTGAATTCAACCAAAAAATAGGAGTTTGAGTTGAAGCTTTTATTTGAATTAGGCTTGGACAGAAAAACACCAATCCTTGAAATCGGACAATATTTCAGAGGTTTTGGGCTGTCGAGTTCAACCTGACTATATAAATCGGACTCAACCTGAATATATTTAAAAATTAATATATAAATCAATATAGCAATATGTTTTTATGTTAAAATTAATTTTTATACTTTAATTACTATGGTCTTTATGTTAAACATTGATTTTTATACTTTAAATACTATGGTGTTTACGTTAAAAACATTTGATTGAAATTGTTGGTTGTTACTTTAGGTGAATATTATGTAGTATTTATCAATAGACTGATTTCGGACTTGAACGAATCAAACTCAAATTCTAACCCGAAATTAGCCCAAATTACATAACCTAAAGTTTTAGTTCACATTTTAGAAAATCTAACAATTTAATTTAATAATGTTTTTGTTCACATTTTAATATTAACACGAAAGTTCAACAAATGTAAATACGACAATGATATTAATATCAATTGTCACTTCGTAAAATTAAAATAATTAATAAGATTATTAGATCCCAACTGACCAAATTTACTATGTCCTTTACATTGATTGTGAGCTTCATTAAATATTAAAATTTAGTGTTGATTCAATGGTTCTAATGAAATCACATCATTAAGTCAGCAAATTAAGTTAGATTTTTAAGTTTAAAAAAAATAAAGGTAAAAGCATTGTGCTACAATGAACAGTCATGAAAAAATTTCTATTATTGAATTGAGGGTTATCGAAAATTGCAAGATGAGATTGATCAAAAAAATTTAAGGGCCAAAGTGGAAGCTAGTAAGATCTTCAAGGTGGAAAGTATAATTAAGCCCCAATTTTATTTGTCATTAGAATCACCCCTATCATATACGATCTACTGTGGTTGCGACGTTCACAATTCACACAATCACTTGTCGAACCATAGGCATCATAAAGGAGAAAAGTGACTAAAATGAAAGGTGACTCAAACTTAGAATCATATTTTTGCCACCTTATGCAAATCTTTTTCATTTGGATTAAAAATGACTAAAGTAGGGCTCTTCATGGGCCGAGTCAGGTTAAGTCCGTAAATTTTTTTGGGTTGGGCCTAAGTAAGGTAGACCCAAGTCTTTATTTGAGCAAGTTATCGGGTGAGCTGGGTTGGACTTCGGGTAAGAGTAGATTACCCGCGGCCTGCTGGACGGACGGGCCTGTTGGACGGATTTTTTTTTTTTATATATATACAATTTCATTCAAAAAGTTTTCAACTTAATATTTTTGTAAATTATATTTTTGAATTAAAAGTAGAGTCAAAATGGATACAAAGTAAATAATGTATAATTTTATTTATGAATAGAGGAGAAACTGTATCATAATAGAATGAGTACATCTCAACTAAGTTCATATATTGCCACCAAATTTTAAAGTTTCAATGATTGATTTTTTTTCAAACAATTAGGTGGAAGAGCAGACAGACTAAGCGGGCGGGCTCTTGAACCAGATTTTAGGCAGGGTAATGGATTTGATGATAAGTCCAAGCTCTCTCTTGAAGGATATTGGGCTCGGACTCAAGCTGACCGATCATCGAGCCTGCTAAGTTTTGACCCTATTTTTTGAACGGAGTAATACAACCGGTGGACCAACCCGAACCATGAACTCCCCTAGGATAAAACATAAGTAACCTGCATAATGAGTCAGTCCACTGCTAGAATTCTAACTGAGAGTTAACCATGATAAACAAGCAAACAAACAAAAAAGGGGTTGCCTTTCTTCTGTCACCAAAATAATCAAATCCACTTTGTAGGCATCTATATGACTTTTTTTGAAACAACAATTTAGAATGGGACACTACTTTTCATAGTCACGTTTAAGGTTAAAAAAATAAATTATATTTTGACCCCCTCTTCCATATTTATTTTTCTCTTTAGTTCTTATGTTTCTTTCATATTGCTCACTCAATTATCTCGTTTCTCACATTACATTTAAAATTATATCTATTAATTTTAAATTGGCCCAATGACCCAATTGTAGATATTGAATACACTGAAAAGTGGTGTGAAATTAATTTAAATAGTTCGTGGGACAATGTAGTTAAGTAGTGAAAGTTAAATTTTTTTTTAATAAAAAATTAATCGAATCTTCTAGATTAAGATCAACTTGAGAAGGAAAACACCTAAAAAAACTGCTGAGAAATGAAATCATGATGAATACCCAAAGGAATAAAAAGCAAGAATATTATTTTAATCAAACAACTTTTTTAATAGATATGAAATATAAAACACAAATTAAATCACAAATTGCTGTGTAGTGGCCTAGTGGGTACTTGGCTACACATTCCACCAAGTTAAAAACTGTAGTCTGATTCGAACAATCTGTTGCTCAGTGGTACTTTTGAGCTATCTCCTGAACTTCCCAACCTACCATTCTCACTTTCTCTCTCCTCAACACCTTCATCTCCTTCAAAAGCTGGGTGGCTCAAAATGCTATTCAGCAGTTGGGTCCCTCTGAGTGCATTTGTCAATGGCAAGTGACCCTCTGGTGTGTCATCACTGAGTTCCCATATGAACTCAGTGGGAAAAGACCTGTAATTGTATTGCTCGACCTCAGTTTCAAGCTTTTTCATCCAGCCCAACTTGATGAAGAACTGTGTGAAGTCTTTGTTAACTTTTTTCCATATTTTCTTTTGAATGCTGTACCCAAATTTGTTGTTGCTGTGTTGTTTCCAGAGGTCATCGATGGCTTTGAGGTCTGATTCTGAGATGAATTGGGCCTCGGAGAAGAAGACATAGCCTCGCTTTTGGGCTGGTTCGCCGGCGAGGACGATGAGGAGGCGGCGGGTTTCTTCGTCGGCTTGCCGGAAGTTTTGGGAGGAGAGGTGCTGTTGGAGGAGGTCAAAGGAGATGGTTTGGGAGGTGGAGGGTGTGGTGGAGGTGGTGGAGGACGAGGAGGAGAGAGAGGAAGTTATGGAGGAGTGGGAGATAGAAATGGTGTTGGTGATGGTAGTGGTGGTGGTGGTGGGTTTAAGGAAGGCAGAAGAGGAGAGAGTGGAGTGAGGGCAGTCTATTAGGTGGCCTCGGCGGAGGGAGAGGTGGTGATGAAGAGTTTGATGAAAGGAGTTGGTGGCCATGACTAGAGAGAGAGAGAGAGAGAGAGAGAGAGAGAGACTAGGAGGCCATGAGGGAGGAGAGAGGAAGGTATGAACTATGAAGGAGCATGATTTTCTGAGAGATGGAGATGAGGGGTTGGGAATGTAGGGAGATAAGAAATGAGTGAAGAGGGAAGTGAGGAGGTCATTCTGAAAGATATAAAGAAGGAATATGATTGGTTACTTATGGGTGAGGCTCGATACTCCTATCTCTCCCTTGGAATTTTTTTTCTTTCTTCTTTTTAAAATCTATCTTTGGAAATTCAAAACTCAAATATTATTAATATTTGTTACATATTTAATCAAAATTTATTTTATTTTTTCATTCGCATTATGTAATTTTTTTTACTTTTACCTGATACCTCAATAATTTTCTTATAAGAAGATAACAATTGTTTGCGATTGGAACAATGTGAAATAATCAACGGTAATTGAGTGAGTAATGTTTAAAATTCTATAGTTAAAGTGCAAAAAATGGTCATAGTTGTGGAGATCAAAGTGTAATTTATCTTTATTTTAAAGATTAAGTTATACATTACACGGAACATGTTAATTCATAATTGATTATGCAATGTTTATGGTCGATCATGAATTACCTCACTTAGTTGTAACTTTTCATTTGCAAAGTGTAACTTGAACTTTAAAAGTTACATTTTTCATGGTTGATAATAGAATTTTATGATCGATTATAATTTTTTGAGTTACAACTTATATTCTTTTGAATTGTAACTTCACTTCATGTTGTAATTTTTGTGTAGTCGTCCTGTGGTTTTAGACAATCTCCAACCCACTAGCTATGCTCCAATTTTTAGTTATTTTGGCAAGGCTGACTCCAAAAACCAGCTCCAACCCAACTGGTTATCCTCCACGCAAAACCTAAGAGGCCTTCATGCTTGCCAAATCTGGAGAGGTTAGCTTGCTTGCCATTTCTTACTGTTGAAGTTCTCCAACTGAACAACTATGTATTCATCTCCCTTTGCACACCCCCACCCCTCTGTTTTGCTGTCGAAACCCACCTCCCCCTCTCCTCTGTTTGCTTTCGAAACCCACCCTTATCTCCCCCCTAATGCCAAAACCCCTCTCCCCTCCCCCATTTCGAAACCCCCTCCACATATTGATTTATGGTTAAATATGCGGTTAAATTGCTATTGATTTTTGGTTAAATTAGTATTGATTTGTGGTTAAATGTAGTTAAATTGTTTTAATTTTTGGTTAAATTGGTATTTATTTTTGGTTAAATAGGTGGTTAATTTGCTATTATTTTTTGGTTAAATAGGTGGTTTAATTAGTATTGATTTGTGGTTGAATATGTGGTTAAATTGTTATTGCTTTTGGTTAAATAGTGGTTAAATTGGTATTGATTTTTGGTTAAATAGGTGGTTAATTTGTTGTTGATTTTTGGTTAAATATGTGATTAAATTGCTATTGATTTGTAGTTAAATTTATACAATGTATGGTTAAATTGCTATGATCAATTGGTTTTTGTTATTTAAAGTGGATGGGTGTTAAATTGCTATTAGGTTGTATTATTTGAAATTTAATTAGAATTATTATTATAGTATGCTTTGGGTTGAATTCTAGGCATTACGTATATAACCATTTGAACATGAATATTACTTCACCAATCTCTTGAATGACGGAACAAACATAGATGAGTTTAACACAGAATCAGTAGACCATATATGTCATTCTTCACCAATATCACCTCAAATAGAATCCACTACAAAAAAGGTTCGAGGCGACAACTTTATAGTTGAGGAGGACTTAGTTTTAATCTTGACTTGACTTAATTTTAGCGTGGATGTAGTGCATGGAACTGAGCAAAAATCTAAAACGTATTGGCGAAGGATTGGGGAGTACTTCAACGAATACAAACCCTAGTTAGCTTGTAATCGCAATTAGGTTTCTTTGATGAATCATTGGTGGACAATTCACCTAGCCACTAATAAATTTTGTAGCTGTTTTGACCAAATTGAAAGGTTGAATCAAAGTGGTGTAATTGAGAAAGACAAGGTATGAGTGCATTTTTAATTATGAGTGTCAAAATAGCGCATTTTTCATTTATGATACATAGTGTTATTGTATAATTTTTAGATCTGTGATGCAAAGAAGGTGTATAAGGAATTGCATAAATGCTTTTTTTTTTTTTCGTTTGAACATTATTGAAATGAGTTACAGTATCAACAAAAATGGATAGAGGATTTTCAGTCTAAGAAGCAAAAAACAAAAAGTGGTGCAACTCCTAGCAGCTCTAATCTTTCAACACTAGACTCAGTAAACAAAGGAGACGACAGTGGTCCATATGTGGGCTTGGAGAGGCCAACTGGAAGGAAGGTTGCGAAAGAGCGAACAAGAAAGTTAAAGAGCAAACTCTCTGAAGGTGATAATCCAAGTTCAACCTATTCTGTGAAATTGTTTGAAGAATTGAAGGAGGAGAAAAAGATGTTGACAGAGAAGAAAGTCGAATTCATGGAAAGATTATATCTTCAAGAACAAGAGAGATTAGCTCAAGAGAAACATCGACTAGCTGTTGAACAAGATAGGCTAGCCTAAGAGAAAAACGGCTAGCTCATGATAAAGAGAAGATGCAAATCAAGCAATTGAAGGAGAAAGAGAGAATAAAGTTGATTGACATGAGTGGCATGCTTTCAATTCAAATTGAATATTTTATGCGCTGCTAGATGGAAATCCTGGGAAAGAAGAATTAGTTCTTTCTTATTCATAAACTAACAACTTTTGAGTAGTAGTACAACAAACAAGTACAATAATATTATGCATGCTTAAATATTCGTAGACAATGAATGCTTAAATGTTCGTAAAAAATTCTTAGCATATTAGTGCCTATCTCTATCTCTAATGCGATGTTGAATATGAATAAATTAGAATAGTTTTGAAATCCATTCAGATATCAATGTAGGAGTAAGAATTTCATCCGATGCATCATAACTAAAGTCCATCTCATTACCATCTCTTTCATCATCGACAATCATGTTATGCAATATTATGCATGCCTTCATAATATCCTTAAGCACTTCAAGTTTTCAGAAACGTGCTGATCCACGAACTATAGCAAACCATGATTGGAGCACTCCAAAAGCTATCTCAACATCCTTTTTAGCTGACTCTTGAGCTTGTGCAAAATGTATTTGCTTATTGCCTCTCAGAGATGAAATTGTTTTGACAAACGTTGCCCACTTTTGATATATACCATCAGCAAGATAATATCCCATAATATAATCGTTTTCGTTGACGGAGTAATTAACCAGAAGAGCCCTACCTTCCAAAAGAAGAGTAAAAATAGAAGAACGTTCTAGTATACTGATATTATTGTGGGATACAGGTAACCCAAAAAAGGCATGTCAAATTCATAGATCGTATGAAGCCACCGCCTCTAAAATAATTGTTGGTTCATGGACATGACTAGAGTACATACCTTTCTATGTTGTGGGACAATTCTTTCATTTCCAATGCATGTAGTCAATGCTATCTAGCGTCCCAGGAAACCCACGCCTCTCACTGATTGTTAATAATCTAGCAATGTCTGTTGTTTGGTGACCCGAGGTACTCATCAGAATAAATTGCTACTATGACCGATACAAATCTTTGTAGACTTTCTATTGCGGTGCTTTCGCTGATCCTCACATAATCATCAACATCATCTGCTGCAACTCCATAGGCAAACATTCTTATAGTGGTAGTCATCTTTTGAAGGGGAGACAAGCCAATATTCCCAAGAACATCCATTTTTTTGACAAAATATAGATCATAAGCTTCCACTATGGATAAAATATGAACGAAAAGAGATCGATTCATTTGAAACCTCCTCCAAAATAAATATGGGGTAGGCAATTCAACAAAATAATCTCAATAAATTCTCTCATGCCCTTCAACTCAATTGCGAAAAATAATAGAATGGCCTTGAATAGAATTATGATGTACTGTAGAGCTATTCTCAGTTTTGAGTTTCTCCATTGCTACAGTAGCAACTGCTAACATCTCCAACTCATCATCAGAGTCAAAATCGTTAATAATTATCCTCAATTTACCATCATGTGCCATAGCAAGGAAATAATGTATGAATGCAATGCCAGTAAAATAAATTTAAGGTATATGACAATGAGAGGGGTAGGTCCTATTTATCTCTCATGAATACTCTAATTCTGTCATCGATGACATATCTTTAACTAAACCGCATAAAAGATTAATTGATGTGCACGTAAGCTGGACTGCACAACCATGACCGTTGAACATAAATAAAAAATAAATTTGTAGTCTTTTTCCTTCCACTTATTGAAGTTAAGTGCCCATATCATTAAAGCAAACACAAAGTCGTGAAATGAAACACATTTCTTATTTTGGGAGGGGAAGATATGTGTGGATCTTCCCTCATGATTATAAGCATGGATTGCATGACACTAACTACAGGGGTGAATAGGTTCTTAAACTTTAAGCTTGAACAACCACCAATTTTAAATCTATTAGTACTGCAATTGTGTCTTCTCACAAAGTTTAAACAATTATTAGTGAGAACCCCCTTTTAGCCATAACAACCCATGAACTCATGATGATTAGTGTTGTTAATTTGTCAATTAAACACTCAATCACTTTCGGGGATCCCAACCCAATGACCCAAATCCTTAATGCACGACTATGGATGATAAAGATATTCAATCAAACACCCAATCAAATCACAAGTGTTTATGAAAAATAATAAATAACACAAGTGATTTTTTTGGCACGAAAAACTCTCCTGGAGAAAAACCGCGAGGAACCTTCTTGATTCACCAAAGTCATTACCACTACCCTGAAATTAGCTACAAGTACTCGAGTCTTATATCTTAACCAATACTATGGTTAGATGCTCATTTCCTTCAATAAGCCTCTCGACTGGATACACCCACCGATGTCTCAGATAGCTCCACTTTGATTGTCCATCGCAATAGATCCTCTAGGCCTCGAGCAATCTTGGGTGCACCAATGATCCTCGGTGTGCACACTCTAATGGGCTTGGTCTTCAACCGATCAAGGTCTTCTTCTTCAAGTTGAGAGGTTAGATGAGAATCACTAGATGTTAGCCTTAGGTCTTAGGGATCTAGGGTTGTAATAGAAGCTCTCTAGGTAGAAGATATGATTTTCTCTCAAAATACTAACATGACGCTTGCCCTAGGTGTAAAATCTAGGAAAATTAAAAATCTTAATTAAAGGGATAAAATGGTAATTAGACTGCTTAAGCACGGGTTAAAAATTCAAATTTTTATATAACTCGGATAAATAAATTGACCTCACCATTGGATTTGTCTCACAAAATTGAGTTAGCCAATCTATTTTTATTGAATTCCGAGACAGTAAGATTTTCACGTGTTGCTATGCGATTGAGTATCGGGTGATTAAAATCCTTTGATCAGATTTTAATCGCGGAACCCACAATATAATTTAAAGAAAATCTCGTATATGAAACATAATACATGGCAAGATGTGATTGGTTGGGACAAAATTGGACCACTAGAAAAGTGACATGTGACACATTCTTGGCCAAGTATAAAAAGGGGTAAAAAGGTGGGAGACCTTGTCTTCGACTCATTTCTTTCCTCCAAATTTTGGCAGAGAGAGAGAGAGAGAGAGAGAGAGAGAGAGGAGCTCACTCTTTTTCTTATTCTTCTTTATTTCTTCCTTTGATCTACGAAGATCCGTCTGTTGGAATAGTGCAAGAACTAAAGCTGCTCTTCTCGACAAGGGCTACACATCTATACCAACTATGACCAATTTCTCCAAATTTTGAAAAAGAGGGGTTGTGCTCTAGACCTTGGGAGAGCTTTGTTTGGGCATTCTAAGGAGTCTTCCTACGTTGCTCATGCTACAAGAGGTAGAGTTCCCTCCTATCTAGATTTACTTTCAACCTAGGGCTTGTATATGAAATGGGTAGGGCTATGGGTGTGTGTATCACATGTTTTAGTTCTTGACTAGTTTACTTAGTGGGTTAAGGTTAAATATGAGGATTTGTTGAACCCTTATCTTGCTTGAATTAGGTTTGGTCGTGAAAATGTGAACCTACCGATAGGAGAGACACAACCTATCAGTAGGAAGATGTATGGTTTGATGAAAAAATTATTTGAATATGCTATATATTTACATTTTATGCCTACTAAGTGTTTTGATAAATGCTTCGGTAAATGCAAGTATGTTATTTGGATAATTATCATATATAGCATGCTTGGTGATGTTTATAAAATGTTATTATATGCTTTCATGATGTAATTGAAATTATGATGAAATGAAATTATAATTGTGAGTGTGAGTGTGTGCATTGACATGAGTGTGAGTGTGTGCATGAGTTTGGGTCAATCACCACCTAGGTGAGTTGACGGCTAGGCTTGGAAAGATTGGACTTAAGTCTGACTAAGTCGCACCGGAATTGTATAAATAAACATGTCGGGGTGTAGTAAGAAGGACTAGATTTTTTCTCAGGTGCGAGGTTCGACAATGTTGATTATGCGCTTTCTATTGGTGTAATGAGCCCATAAAAGCGTGACGACAAAAACGAAGCTACAGGTGGGATGTCCTGAAGATTTGTTGAGGCTTTTGTGAATTCCTTCGCCACCTCTTTGAGAAAGATTCTTTTGTCTCTCTCTTTGGCCTGGTATTTCTTATTGGCTTGTGAAGAGAGTCCCGGTTGGCTAGTCTAACTATTCATTACTTTTTGTTGGCCAGCTTATGTACTTATAAGCGAAATCTCATATTTAGTCAACGTCACTCCGTCGTTGTTGTTCCTGTCCACTTTCTTGAGTTTGGTCTTAAAAGCCTTGTGGTAATTCTCAGCCCTTCAGTCAGGAATTAGTGTTCGACCTTCTCTCCTGCGCCTCTTATAGGTATGGCGCATATAAATGATCCCATTTAGTATGACTCTTGAGAGTGACTATCTCGACTGACTAGTAGCTGGTAGTGCCAAAAGGCCTCCCCGGTATCATGCGACAAACAAAGGGATCAGCTACGCCTTTATCACTTGCTTAGTTGGAAAGAGGAGACCTACGAAGGTGCAATCTGAGTGAATTAGAATCCAAAGTCGACAGCTCCCTCCATTTTGAAAAGACTCGAGGACCACTCTTGCAATCCGAAGCAACAAACCACTGGCGCAGATTGATGGGGCGTCTTTCCTCTTAGTTACCTTCTTTAAGGTCATCAAGATGGCATCTTTCATGGCAACACTCTTATGAGGGCTTGCTCGATCCTAATAGGAACGAACCAAAGTCTCAAACTGATGCTCCAAAGGCGGGAAGTCGAGCATCGACATCTAAAAATTTCGATGAGTGAGTCAGGCCAAAGATTTTTTAGTTGAAAAGGGGAAAGCTAGGATTCGAGGCAAAGAAAAGAGGTTCAGTCTCTACCCATGTGCTTGTTTTGGATGACATAGAACACAACCTTTAAAGAGTAATTGTCTTTGCCTCCAACTGCCGATGTTGTCGATTTGGTGACCTTCACCCGTACCAAAGTAGGAAGATTTGTCCAATCGGGCCTAAACCTGCTAGAGTATCAATCGAAACAACATACTAGCCCTCAAGCTTTTGTATTGGAAGAACTCATTTCAGAGATGGCTAGATCATCCTACTTTTGGTTCTTTTCTCATGTACGCGTAGTTGGACAAACACACTTCCCCTAGATTACAAGTAGAGATCTTCCCCCCAGACGCAAATTCTATAATTGAAGATCTAATGACTGTGCTAATCTAGAAGAAGGAAAAGCAAATGCAAGCAAGATGAGAGGCATCCTGAAACCAATGAAACTAGGTCAGCTTCTTGATTATTGATTCGTCAAAGAATCTATCTCTCGCAACATCCCATAGTTACATATTATGGTTGAGTCTAAACTTTTGTGCTCACTTAACTAAGGGATCTTAGCGTCAGGATTAGTATTGTGGGGAACCTCCCATCTTGGGTAAGGGGATCACTCCATCGCCCTACTAGTCTCATTCTCCCCCTATGCTTTTGCGAGCTTTGGGAGTTCTTTCTTTTCTCTTTCCTTTTGCTTTGGATTTTTGCCTTATCTCGTGCAAATGAAATACTAGGAGAAAAGAGTTTTACGTTTCTCTCTCTCTTTGATTTTACCATTTCCAAAATACATTTGCTCTTCAATTATCGTAGGTAACGTTCGAAATCACCAATATCGAGTTCAAGTAGAGTAGCTGACGGACCTCGGAACCTTGTTGTTCTAGGTTCATAAGTGACTCTAGAATGCTATGTACCGCAACTAGTTTCCCTTCCAAGAAGTAGCCATTCCAAGTGAGTTTTCACCGAGCTGGTCGCTTGAGTCTATTGGCTACCTTCCCTACCCGCTTTTCTACAAGGTCTACTTTCTTCTTCCTTCAGACTAGGCCAAGCCTTTAGGTTGTTTAAGTAGGTTTGGGCTAGGTCGTTGCACCCTTGCTACCTCTTGGCAAAGTAGGCTAATGGGTAAGCCCCCTCTTGTCACAATGGTGTGGGGCGTCAGAGGCTGTTTCCCCGTGGCCAACTCGAAAGGGCTAAAGTTCGACGCAAAAATTTTTGGTTTTTAAGTTATAGCAACACTGAGCAACATCCAACAGCTTCAGTCCTTCTGGTTTGCACTAAAGTGGCTTAAGTAGCCCTTGAGGATCCGGTTTATTCTCTTCATATGAGCTTTCAAAGATATACCAACCCTAGGTATCTGACCATCAGATACTGACAATTGTCTTCTAACATTATCGACTGTTAAATATCGAGTTTTCATAAATTTCACATAAGAGAAAACCTCTTTTCATCATAAAAAACAACCTGTATGTGGAGGAGTCACTGAACAGCTAGAAAAAGCCCGGGCTCGCTTACGAAAAGTTGAAATGGAAACATAGTAGTTTCGAGTGAATGGATACTTTGAGACAGAGCGAGAAAAATTGAATTTGAGAAATGAAACTTATAAGACTTTGGAATAGTGTCCTGTTCGTGAAAGACCATAAATAGGCGCCCTAAAAAGACATGGAATTAATTAAATAGTCATTGGATGTTTAACATCAATATCGGGGGCCTGAAATGTTCGAATTTATATGCATGACATTTCATGTGTTGTGGGAGCCCAGAATGGGGCTCAATGTTGGCATTGCATGTGTTAGTTCTCACTTCATGGCATGACATGACATGATTTGTAGCATTATTCATGTTATACATATTTGAATGAATGCTTGAAAGATATTATGATTGTATGACATTTCATATGCATGTGGCTTGGGCGGTGATCTCCATAGGAGATATCCTATTGAGCATTAACTCACCCATTATGGGGATATATTTCATGTACAGGATGTGGTTCCGCTGACGGACCTTACTTGGGCTCACTTTGAGGATTGAAGCTAGAGTTGGCTTTACTTTTGAGTTGTTTAGTCTTGTTTTAATTACTTGGGCTCACATATATTCTTTTGGTAATGAATATATGTTGTATGATGATGGTTATGAGGTGATATTCAAGGTATATAATGCTTGGATATCGATGCCGAACCTTGTTAAGGTCATAGTAGTATTATATGCACATGTTGTGTGTTGAATGGAGCTCTCCGTACAAAAGAGACTCCACCTGAATTTTATTGATAAAGGACTCTTGGTAAATGGGGTGTCATAGCTTGGTATCGGAGCATAGAAATGATATCAAGGGTAATCCGCAATTTAATTTGTGTTAACAAGTGGCACCCAACAATCAAGGCGTTAAAGTAGGTGTAGGAAAGACTTTGCCTATTTATACGTCCGGAATAAAGACAATCTTAGTCAACAAGAAAACAAAAATTTGCGAATGACTATTTCAATTGTGGGAGGGCAGTCATAAGGTGGTGGTTACTGGAATGAAAAATAAATTCCAAACTGACCTTGGAGAGTAGGCCCGGTCGATCGACCTCTAAGGGCGACCCATTTTGTCTTTCGTTTAGCTTTTGCCCGATATTTTCCTAAGTCATGAAGAGACGCTCTTGTGAATGCTAGCAGCATAAGACGGTCTCTATTGATTTTTAAGTCTAAAACCAAGCAAAAAACTTGTCATGTTGAACACTAAAGGGTGTTGTTCAAGAGGGATCTGATGATGACTCATTCCTATGTTTTCAAAATACACAAAAGGTTTAAAAAAATTTTTATTTGAAGAACACCAAATAGTCATTCTTGGATCTAATTCCGATTTTATTTTAACACTAATCCTCTTAAGTCTATTAAACCAAGGGATCATCTTAGGTCTCTAGGGCATTCCTAAGCAAGAAGGTGCATACAAAGCGCTTTTGATGTAGCTTTGACGCATGATCTCCTCCCTTTAAGTAATGCTTTTGGATCTTCATCATTGTAGCATTATGACCATAGAACAAGTTGAGATTTACAAAGGAATTCACGAAATTAGCCAATTGCAAAACATGATCTAACAATATTGAAGCCAAAAACTAATTCTAATTACCACACTCATGAAATAAATATAAGGGATATTTATAGATTACTTTCTTGTGATTTGATTCAATTATGCATTGCCTCTTGCTATAAAACTAAGAAAATATTTGCTAGACCAAAAATTAGTGTTTTGGTTAACTTTAAGTCAATATTTGAGTGGAACTCACCCGGTGTTTGGGTCCTTACTAAGTGGGTTCATGTTCTACTCTGTGAATAGATTAATGTAGTATATTAACTTACTCAAATCGAATAAAAGGTGAATGAGAAAGTCAACTCCAAAGTGACCCACTTGAAAGGTTAAAATGTGCTATGAACATATAGGTGGAAACCTCAATCCCACACTTGTTGAGAAGGACACTTTAATGAGCGTATATACTTGTCATTTGCTCTAAAGGTTGGATTGCAAGGGACACCCCATTTTTGTGGACATGAGAGGATCTAAATGTGCTTGGGTTCAACTACATGTGCATGTCGTCGCCTTGATTGGGCCAGACTCGGGTATGAGTGTGGATGTGATCCACACTTATCTTTTTGGGCAAAATTTGTTTGACAAATGGTTTCTACGTTTCTTACCCAATTTTAAATATTTGTCTGTTGGAATTTATATTTCGCACTGATTCGGATTTCAATTTCACACCTATCCGAATTTGAATTTCGAGTATGCTCATTAACAGATATCTTAAGGGTTGCATATATTTGCATGATGATTGTTCATATCAATTACTTATCTATGTATAAATACTCAAACTTTATTAGTATTCTACCCATAAGAAATATATCATTACCAGTAGTCATTACATTTGTAAACTGTCATTATAGTCTTAATCTGAGGAGAGTATGACAACATAACTTTAGAGATATAGATTATAATGCTTTATCTGGATGTGTTAGATCATTGTTGTAATGCCCCAAAATCTACCTTGGATGACATTACTACATAAATAAAGAAATATCCATAAATAAAGAAAATTCCATTCATTATACATAGTATCTACAATACAATCCAAAAGAATTTGTCAAACCATGACCATTACATCCAAAAAAATCAAACTTTATCTTGTAGCAAAATAAATAATATATCATCCATACATTGTCTTAAAATGCATCTCCTAGTCTAGGACATAAAAGAGAACAACTCTAGACATCCCCCTCGGGATCCACGCTTCCATCCAATTAAGCTTCCCAAGCTACCTGCTCATCAAATCCGAGCTCTTTCTCTAGACCATAATCTGAAAAAGATGTTGTTTGTAAGGGGTGAACATTAAGCTCTGTAGGAAAATTCTATCAAGCTCGAACAAGGTTTAGAAACATATAAAACAGATCGGTCTCATTTCACAAATATCATATATAATTTTTGAAATAAAATAGTGACAGTTCATCAGACATCAAGTTTACATAGTAGCAATAAATTAAATGAAGAAGTCAAACTAATTTCCAAACAATAAACCATTTCCAACAATAAACCATTTCCAACAATGTATCATTATCCACAATTTGTATCATTAACCACACTGTACCATTACCCACATTATGTATCTTAGGTAGGAAGTAATACTTTACATGAATACACACATTGAGAACATCCTAGCCCACACACACACACCCCTAATTCTCGTAAGGATATAAAAGTTTAGGAAGGGTGTATATCGACTCATCGGTAGTGATGAATTCAACTCAAGAATAGTATACTAACCCTCTGTCTCAATACCATGTTAGCGAATAGTGGTTTGGTTCTTGCAAGGCACCAATCCCACTACGAGTGGTAGAGAACCTTCAAACCCACATGGAGTAAAAATGCATCTACCCACTCTACGATACCTGGTCAACGGTAACCCATGTTTATCCAAACAACCATACAAGAGATACAATACCAAACCAATTTATCAAATCACAAGTAAATCAAGAACCCCCAATTCCCATGTGTTTTTTTTCCAATAGAACAATTTAAGAAAATAAGTAAGAGATGATCAAATATATAGTTTTTAGTGTTAAAAAAAAGCACTAGAGTTTTGAAATCAAGAAAAAAAGAATATCAAGAGAAAAATCTTTATTTCTTGAAAAATTAGGTTTTGACATCAAGAACATGAATTTTATGGCTATCAAACCATAACTTCACTCAAAACATGGTAGGATTTGCAAGAACATCAAGAAACAAGGATTCCATAACAAATATCTATGATTGAGAGTCAAAACATACATATATATAAACCATAGCCTCAATGGACAAGATTAGGAAAAAGCCTCTACCTTGCTTTCGTAGTTTTGTAAGAAATTTAGAAGATTTGATCCACTTTAATGTGAAAATCTCCCTTGATCTTATGTTTCTCTCCTTATTTCTTACTCTCTAAGACTATCTAGAGTTAGAGATGTTGACATGGGGCTAAGGGAAGTGTCCTTAATTATTTATAGTAGGAGAAACAATCCCCTATGCGTGAATCTCAAACTTAGAATCGTAACTCACGTTTGAACATCATTTTAGTGTTCGAACGTTAGTAGTGCAAATTACTTCTTCATGTTCAAACGTCATTATGGCGTTCGAACGTTAG